TATTAGCACATGCATAGTGTTTGCATAATTATTACAATCATTTATTTTTAATCAGCTCAACGTGCTTTTGACACATCAGAATCACAGAGATATGAGAAATGTTTCGCTCTTGGTCAAGCTTCAGAGAAATAAACTGGAAAATACCAGAATCAAGGACGCAAACTTCACTGGAGATTAATTAGCAGATTTGCAAAATGCAAAGAAAAAGATGCACTTTCAGAAGTATGGTGATTCATGTAGACGAAGCCTCGGAGACGGAGGAGCTGAGTAAAACAGTCCAAAACACCAGAGAGATGCATGACCTTCCTCCCGAGACTCAAGCCTCCACTGAACATTACCCAGAGTTCTCAGCAGCAAACGCGATAGATCTGTGTGACACCAAACCCATCGGCTCTCACACAATACCATAATCACTTCACAATGAGCTGCCAAACAAGTGATATAGTAGTTTCTGAAAACAACCGGCGTCAGTAAAGGAGCTCACAGAAGAACAACACAAACAACGGCTGAAAACATCCAGAAATAACCCTGCGAATCCCAGGCCTCGGGCCAGAAGAGCGCTCCCAGAAGACATGCTGTTTTTACCCTCTCAGATCTGCCCTGTCCTCCATTACAGAGCTGACAGATGAGGATGATGAGGATGAGGATGATGTTTAAGCACAGTCGAACAGAGGAGCGCCCGGTGTGTGTAACGACGACACCCTCACGATTCGACACTGAACTCACCATAACATCTTACCACGAAGACATTTTGTAAAAGGTTAACAAAAAATGTCCTGTTGATTAAAATGCTATAGCATTGCGGGTGTAATTAATGAATTGGCTTGGAAACCCAAAGCACAGGACAATAGAGACACCAGAATAACAATAATCATCATTCTGAAGCTGAAAACTTTAATGTCACTGGATAGATATACTTAAAATAATGTAGACCATGTTTTACTGGTAACAACACATCTGGCATCATCAAGACCCAAAATATTCCTCTTATATTTAACATTATAGCCTATATAGTGGTTTAATGTAGTGACACTGAAACTGTGTAAACTTGAATTTTTTCTCACACAGAAATTTTCATTTTGGGTGACCTATCCACAATACATATTGATGAATTTTTATATTGTCATATATTGTGAAATATGAATAGTGTCTCATCTACATCAGAGAAGCCTCACGTTTAGGTCAAAACTCACAGGACCAGTTGAAATAACAGCACAGCTCACTGACATTAATGGAAACATTAGTGGTTATGTAACAGGGCTCCATATTTAACCCTGTGGTACTGGGACCTGCACTGCACATAACACCAATTACTGAAACTCACTGGAGACTCGCCGGCTTGCGTCCCTATTAAGAGCCGTTAACCATTCACTTCCCTACGCAGAACCAGCTCACGTTAGCGCTTCTCAGAGTCCAGAGGATTACATTTAAGGTTCAGGAAGAGCTAAATCAGCGTTATTCTATACATCTGGGCCTATGCAGTGATATATTAATGTAGTCTGATCTCAGTGGTGATATAAACACAACTGCAATGATGTATTAATGTAGTCTGATCTCAGTGGTGATATAAACACAACTGCAGTGATATATTAATGTAGTCTGATCTCAGCGGTGATATAAACACAACTACTGTGATGTATTAATGTAGTCTGATCTCAGCGGTGATATAAACACAACTGCAGTGATATATTAATGTAGTCTGATCTCAGCGGTGATATAAACACAACTGCAGTGATATATTAATGTAGTCTGATCTCAGCGGTGATATAAACACAACTACTGTGATGTATTAATGTAGTCTGATCTCAGCGGTGATATAAACACAACTGCAATGATGTATTAATGTAGTCTGATCTCAGCAGTGATAAACACAACTGCAGTGATATAATAATGTAGTCTGATCTCAGCAGTGATATAAACACAACTGCAGTGATGTATTAATGTAGTCTGATCTCAGCGGTGATATAAACACAACTGCAGTGATATATTAATGTAGTCTGATCTCAGCAGTGATAAACACAACTGCAGTGATGTATTAATGTAGTCTGATCTCAGCAGTGATATAAACACAACTGCAGTGATATATTAATGTAGTCTGATCTCAGCGGTGATATAAACACAACTGCAGTGATATATTAATGTAGTCTGATCTCAGCGGTGATATAAACACAACTACTGTGATGTATTAATGTAGTCTGATCTCAGCGGTGATATAAACACAACTGCAATGATGTATTAATGTAGTCTGATCTCCGCAGTGATAAACACAACTGCAGTGATATAATAATGTAGTCTGATCTCAGCAGTGATATAAACACAACTGCAGTGATGTATTAATGTAGTCTGATCTCAGCGGTGATATAAACACAACTGCAGTGATATATTAATGTAGTCTGATCTCAGCAGTGATAAACACAACTGCAGTGATGTATTAATGTAGTCTGATCTCAGCAGTGATATAAACACAACTGCAGTGATGTATTAATGTAGTCTGATCTCAGCGGGAATAAACACAACTGCAGTGATGTATTAATGCCTGAATTGAGGCGCGTGCTGGTACCTGCGCGTGACAGGCTCTGCCATGGCAACCAAGACAGTATTTACCGCGCGCGCCCATTAAACCAGCAAACGGAACATGACCGTGATCAGCACACAACAAAATAAACATAATAACATACACAAAAACACAGCCATGAGGACGAACGAGCCGTTTAAAGGGAATAAATGTAAAAACACCGCCAGTAACGTTACATACAAAATCTACAATTTACAAATACAAGTGTGTGTGACTGTGTTTGTGTGTGTAACACGCTCACCTGTTTCTGTGTTTCTCCTCGCTTCACCGCATGACAGAAGCACAAACACACACGGCTCGTCGAGTGACTGTCAGAGAGTTTTTCAGTTTAATGACAAAATGAACAATCGCTTGGTTGAGTTTTACTCGCGCTCCGCCTCACACACGCGCAGCGCGCGACCCGCCAGCGCCTCCACGCGCGCACACGCGTAATCTCACCTGAGCGCGCAGGTGAACCTGCCATTCAAATTAAAGTCACAGGAGGACTCTATCTATTTATCTAAATGTCTAAATTCAATCTAAATTCAAATTCAAAATGGCATTATTGGCATGACTGTAGGCCTACATAACACTATTGCCAAAGCTTGGAATACATAGAATAATTATAAAGATATCAAAATAATAAAAATATTATAACATAACTTAAATTTTAAAGTACAAATTCAATTAATTGTACAAATTAACCGTGTAACAAAATAGATTATGAACATTTGATACCACAGAGTTTTAACATATAGCTACACACCAATCTATCTGTAGGCTATTTATTACCATAATAATGATTATTCCAAATAAAGCAAAGGACAAACACACATATTATCAACATTCACAACACCGGCTGGAAATATGAAACCATATTCATTTCAAACACTGGAGTTGATTTATAATTTGGGTATTTCAGAGTGTGTGACACTCCTCTCTTTAAACACCTTCATAAGGCCTGTTTCCTCATAATATTTTACATAGCAACTTATTCTACAGAGTTCCCCTTCCTACAGCAAACGTTCTTAGAAAGTTCTGGCAACATTACAAACAAACAAATATAACACCTTACAGCAAATATAAAACATATAATAAAAACAACATATAAACATAGTAATCACTGTTTAACAGTTTATAGTGCTACAATACGAACTAGAACCATAATAATGTTTTTAATGAAGTAAAACAGTATGTATGGGATTGAAATGTATTTTCATTTATGGGTGAACTAACCCTTATTTAAGCAGAAAAGCTATCTGAACTCTGGACATATACAGAGATAGCCAGCCTATATTAAATGCACACTGGTATGGTGTTAAACAATATTAGGCTACTTAGCTCGTAATGTATAATGGCAGCTCTAAGAAACATCCTGTTACCATATTGTTGTTACCATATGACAAAAGATTAATGAAAATGATTGTGTACAGAAATCAGGTGGATTTGATATGCAATGATTTATCAGCCTACTTTTTGTTTATTTAGCTACATATTTGCATATTACTTTAGGAATAATATTTTTTATATAGCTTACATTTTTAACTTGAGAATTATGAAAAGATCAGGGAACGTCGTTTCTGGAGCTCAACAGTAAAGACTCGTAAAGATGCTGATAGCTCAGGTGTGTTTGACTAAACTCTACGCAGGACCGACACTGCCCTTATACATAAATATGAAAGTCAAACGGACAGTAGGCTATGTGGTGTCTTTATGAGTAAGTGAGTGAGTCATTAATTCTAACGTCTCGTTCAAATCGGGGATTGTTTGCTGAAACACTGTTGTGCGTCTCGGAGATTGACGCTCGTAGTTGGGGTAAGGTGTGTTTTTACAGTTTTGAATCACGCTTATTATTGATCCATGGTCGCAAGACATTCGGCTGTTTTTTATCCCATACCCCAGTGTTACCTCATTAAAAACATTATTATGGTTCTAGTTTGAGTTGGTGCTTAATACTTGGTGGTAATGTCATCTTTGTAATACAATATAAAAGTACAAATTTAGCAGAGGATGGTTTCGATCCATCGACCTCTGGGTTATGGGCCCAGCACGCTTCCGCTGCGCCACTCTGCTCACGCTGAAACAGCGTGAACAACTCGCGTGATAATCACAAGACGATGCGAATGTATATGGTTTATGATGATTTATTATCACGGTTTATTATGGAGTATAAGGATGAAAATATTGATGTTACAATGGTGACTCACTTTATATTTATGGTATAGTCATATTCGTTGTGTATATGTACACATGTTTAGACATTCACTTCTCTTCTGAGCAGCGCCCTCTACCGATAAACCATCACACTTGCACACAAAATATAACAAAATAATCCAAACCACTTGTGAAACAACAACATGTCTGTGAAAGGACGTCTGGTGTTATAATCTTAAAATAAAACAAAAGTAAAAGGTTTTGAAGAACCAAAAAATATCGCATATCCATGTTGTAGTTTTTCGTTCTCCTCTAATATGATATTTACGGCTGTGTGTGCGCAATGGAACACCTGCATACTACGTAGTGTACATTGTATACAAAACAAAACAGTAGGCTACGTGAAGCTGTGCACTGTGTAGCGATACACGTCGTTTCATTAGCTTGGAGTGGACTATTAATATATCGATGAATGCGTAGTGTACAAAACAACCCTACATCCCCACAGCACCTACACTACAGCCGCAGTACGAGCGAGTGCGCAGGGTGTGATTGTGACACAGCCCGGTGTCTCTCATGTGATGAAAACACGGAAAACGGAAGAGACGGTCGTGCTCTCGAGGTGAGAACATATAAACATTAACACTGACATTAAATACATCATATAACCATCGCACATCTCGTATGTCATCATTATTATATGTGTGTTTACTGTCTTACTCTAATGTTAGACGGAACAACGCAATGTTTAGACGGATGTGATGTGTATTTATTATTTTATTTAATATAATGAAAGCATGCTTGTGTTCGGTGCGGGATATTCCTCTATCGGTTTAATCACATCTAACGTCACAGCACGATAATACACCGCTTTATTCTCTCAGGATATTCAACGTACTTTCAGTTTCACTCGATTCGGTGTCGTAACGATCCGTATAGATTATATAAACCTTACGATTCTCTCTTGCTTCTCCTTTTACGTCTAATTTGACATTTTTAGTTTAGTTTCACGCTAAAAAGGCGACAGAATCACGCGCTGATGCGGGAAATTCCCGCAGGTCTGTGACGTCACAGCCAAAAACATTCCCGCAGCGGATTTCGCAATATCTCGTCATTACACGCTTAAACATACGCGATGTTATAGTTCCAACGAAATGAGAGCTAAAGTTTTACGAAACGAAACCGCTGGTCTGCCATTGCATTCAGGAAACACAGTCAAAACAAACATTATTCAGACACCAGATAACCTATAATTTGTGGTATTTTAGTTTCACTCGTGTGATCAGGACATGATTGCTCATTATGTAAGCGAGGAGAGCAAAATAAAGTAAACTCTGATATATTACACACAAATATTCTTCATACAGCGACTACCAGTGACATTTGGGACCAGAAATTATGTTCTGCTGAAGTGTGTTTTAAGTGTGTAATTGCTAATGCTTTTTTTACACACACACTGAACAACATGAAGCATTGCTTGGTCACTGGTTGAGCTAAACTGGTATTATCTAATTGTGTTGTTCAATTTAACGGCTGACAGATATTCAGCATAAATCATGTGTGAGAGTCCAACAGAAGGACGGACAAAACCAGTCAAATATCCACTGATCTGAGAACTGAGTTCTGCTCATGTTTACCCTCTTATGTGTTTACAATCACTTTATAAACTATAGCGAATAAACTGTGATAATGTGATCTGGGTAATAACTGGAAAATGACTATTTCAGTTATTGTCATGGTGAGACTTCCTCATGAATATGCTTATGTGTTTCAGGTGAATCTACAGTCATCATGCAGAGTACGGCGAACTACCTGTGGATGATGTCGGACCTGCTGGGTCAGGGCGCCACGGCCAACGTGTACCGCGGCCGGCACAAGGTACACTCCATCGTCTCAACTGCAGTTCTGAATAATGAGAATAAATGCTTCGTTCATCCGATGCAGTCGTTCATCAGTGTTTAAATCACCTCACATCAGAACCCAGAGAACAAACGTTCTTCCACTGACAATAATAGAATGTTTGTTTTTAAATGTAACGGTTTTTAAATGTTTCTGGTTTCAGAACATTCAGATTCAAAAGTAACATTCCATAATGTGTGAAGAACGATACAGTGTCACTGTTCCCGTAACGTTCACAGAACCGAGAAGAAACACTTGTACACATTTATAAAACTGGATGATGCTGTTAGCTGGGAATCTGATGAACTTTTGAATCTCCCACACAGGGATTTTGATTCGAGTCAGTGAATCGTTTGATTCCTCAGCGCTTGTTTCTGAACTCTGAGAGTGATGTGAACTTTATGTGCAACTCTCTGTAGAAAACGGGCGATCTGTACGCGGTCAAAGTGTTTAATAACCTGAGCTTTCTGCGGCCGCTGGATGTCCAGATGAGGGAGTTCGAGGTGCTGAAGAAGCTCAATCACAAGAACATCGTGAAGCTGTTCGCCGTCGAGGAGGAGGTGAGGCCACATCGAGTTCCACCTCAGAATTAAAATCTCCTGATGATTTACTCTTCCTCACATCATCCAAGATGTTCATGTCTTTCTTTCTTCTGTTGAAAAGAAATGAAGGTTTTTGAGGAACACACTCCAGGGTTTCTCCATATAGTGTCTCCAATGGGGTCCAGATGTGAGTCTCACTGCAGCTTCAAAGTCTCGACACGATCCAGCCGAGGAATAAGAGTCTGATCTAGACAAACCAGCCGACATTTAGAACAAAATAATGCTGGTCTTGCACTTGCTGTGATGCGACACACATTACGCGATCAGGGTGAAAGGTCAAGCGTGTTCCGGTTCACAAATTTAGAGTAGAGCGAATAACTCCGTCACCTTTTCTTCTTCAACTTCAAAATCGTCCAACATCGTTGATTTACCTTTTATTTAATTTTGTAAATGGCGTTTGACTCAGTCGTTGCGTGTTCGCTCTGTAAACACTGGGTCTGTTCTTCCGCCTACATCACACTTGACCTTTCACCCTGATTGTGTAATGTGTGTCGCATCACAGTGAGTGCAAGGCCAGCATTAGTGGTTAAAGTATATAAATGTGTATTTTGTTGTAAATGTCGCTGGTTTGTCTCGGCTGGATCGTGTCGAGACTTTGAAGCTGCACTGAAACTCACATCTGGACTTTCGACCCGTTGGACCCCATTGAAGACACTATATGGAGAAACCCTAAAGTGTGTTCCTCAAAAACCTTCATTTCTTTTCGACAGAAGAAAGAAAGACATGAACATCTCAGATGATGTGAGGGAGACGTTTTAATTCTGAAGTTAAACACAGTCACTGCTAAACTCTTCCCTGATTTACTTCCTCGTGTGTATGTGTGTGTGTGTAAGCTGTAATACCGGTTCTCTAAGAGCACCAAACGTCCCTGTTCTGTTGTGATTGTGAACGCTGATGTTGTTTGCCAGTCGAACACGCGTCACAAGGTGTTGGTGATGGAGTACTGCCCGTGCGGGAGCCTGTACACGGTTCTGGAGGAGCCGACCAACGCATACGGGCTCCCGGAGGACGAGTTCCTCATCGTTCTGCAGGACGTGGGTGAGTTCTGCACACACACAGGACGACCCGAGACCACATGCAGCACCTGAAGGGTCGAGTGTGAGACTCAGAGGGGGCGTCATATGCCCATTTTCCACACGTTGGTGTGATTCTTTAGGGTCTTAGTGTAAAGTATGTACCATATTTTGGTTAAAATTCCTCAAATGGTTGTGTAAACAACACACTCTTTACCACCTCAAACACAGCTCTGTTCACAGCGACCCATTCCGGTGCATGTCTCTTTAAATGATAATGAGGTGCATGTCTCTTCAAATGATAATGAGGTGCATGTCTCTTTAAATGATAATGAGGTGCATGTCTCTTTAAATGATAATGAGGTGCATGTCTCTTCAAATGATAATAAGGTGCATGTCTCTTCAAATGATAATGAGGTGCATGTCTCTTTAAATGATAATGAGGTGCATGTCTCTTTAAATGATAATGAGCGACTGCCCCCCCTCCCCCTTGTCATGTGACAGTGGCGGGAATGAACCATCTGCGGGAGTACGGCATCGTGCACCGAGACATCAAGCCGGGGAACATCATGCGTGTGATCGGAGAGGACGGCCGGTCCGTGTACAAACTCACAGACTTCGGAGCCGCCCGCGAACTGGAGGACGACGAGCAGTTCGTCTCTCTCTACGGCACCGAGGAGTATCTGGTGAGCGGAGCATGATGGGAAAACACTAACCCCATTTAAAAAATAGATTTATTTCTTAATTTTGTAACATTTCACAAACAAAAAACAACATGGGCCGTATTGAAGGATCTCCGCTCGGAGCGTCCCGATCCACTTCTGACAAACGGACGCGCTCCCGGCGCTGGTCTAACAGGGCCGCGCTATTCTCTTAATGATCTGTGTGTGTGTGAGGAACATGTACTGACCTGTGTGTGTGTGTGTGTGTGCAGCATCCTGACATGTACGAGCGAGCGGTCCTGAGGAAAGATCACCAGAAGAAGTACGGCGCCACGGTGGATCTGTGGAGCATCGGCGTCACCTTCTATCACGCCGCCACCGGCTGCCTGCCGTTCAGACCCTTCGAGGGCCCGCGCAGGAACAAAGAAGTCATGTGGGTGCCGTCACACACATCTGCGTCACACTAACTTGCCACACACACACACACACACACACACTCTAGGGCTTTGAGTTTTAACCATTACAATTGAGATTCTGCTTATCGATTTCTATTCCAGTAAACAAACATCACTCACATTTAGTCTTAAGGCCCGTACACACCGGGACGAATATCAGCGCGCATTATTCGTCAGCGTTTTTCAACGCGTTTTTTGTGTTCACACCCAAGTGTTTTTCGCTGACGATGAGCCGAGTGAACATGCAAATTCATTCCCTGACATTAGATGGCGCTTAATATAAAACAGAAATAATAATAGAATACTATACTAGGGTGATCATATTCATGTCTCAATGTTTTATTATGACAGATTAAAAAAACGAATAAAAAAATAATGATAGAAATAATCTGTATTAGAAAAATAAATAAATAATAAATAACTAAATGAAATGCCTCCAAATGTAACAAAAATAGCTCTTACAAAAACGAACTAACAAAATCTATTTATATCTTTAGTTTTCATTCTCTTTATCCTGTTTTTCTTCCTCATCCACCTTGTTTGTCCATCTATATTTTGCTGTAGAACTGATCTTTCCCAGCAGTTTTTTTGAAAACCAGGACATTTTCATCACTTAAAAACAGTCAGGACAGGACGTGGAAACAGGACATGTGTAACGCAAAGTTGAGATGTTTCCCAGAGATAAAACTAGTTGTCGGATGAACAGATGCACGAGAGACGAGAGTTGTCGTATTTCCCCGCGTTTAATAAAACCACTCAAACGTTACACTCGTCCTCATACATAGGGATCGAGCGAGGAAAAAAAACACAAACAAACATCTGGTCACAATAGAAAAACAAAATAAAAGAAAGAATACAAAGAGTCGGCAGAGCGGTTATCTCCTCTCCTCACTTGTCAAAATCTAGCACTATGCGCAGTTCTCATCTCAACTCAGATTTCTATAAAGCACAAAGTGACCGTTTTACACATGTCCCGGGAAAACAGGACTGTTGGTCACCCTATACTATCCAGAAATACTAATATAAATATTATCATATAGCTCTTTATGCTCCGAGACCAGCAGCTCAACATTCATCTTGCCCATAGGTATCTTATCTCTTCTTCGCCGTATGTGTGCTCGGCAAGACCGTTTTGTGTTTGAGCGCCCCCAAGTTGTGCTTTACTGTAACTTCAGAAGTACCAGACACGTGAGCAAACCCGCCGATCTCGTTGGTCGGATAGGTTTTGACGCGGCGCGTCACACCAAAAAAACTAACCCGAGGCGTTTTTTTAAAAATGACGCTTTTACACATGGCGTTTTTCGCGTTGGTGTGAACACTCACATTGGCGCCCATTGTTTAGTCACGAGGCGTTAAACGTCGACGAATATCGCGCGCGAAATTCGTCCCGGTGTGAACAGGCCTTTAAGCAGAACATGTGACTGTGTGTGAACATCATGAGCAGAAGAAGTCTTACACACACTGCGTTTGCCTGAGGGTTAAAAACCACAGAAGAACAAACAGCCCAACTAATACACACTTCAGCATTATTAAACACAACAAACACTCAGTCATTAAACATGAACACTTACAAAACTAGCAATCGCAACAAAAGATAGAACAAAGATACGACTGAAATAAAGAGTGTTTTCAGACTTTCAGGTTCAGGAACTCCTCAAATGTAGAGTAGCTGCAGTTTATCCATCAAATATACATTAGAGATGTAGGCACAGTTATTCAGTGAAGAGCGAGTGTGTGTTCTCAGTGTCCTGTTGTGTGATCGGAGTTATTATAGAGACGGAGGAATATGAGCGCTGTCCCTTTAAAAGCACAGCACACACACTCTCGCTCCAGCGCTTCACACTCATGCTGAGATACACACAGGAATCCACATTTACATATTATAACAAGTATCTGATTCCTGGATGTTTAGTGTGTTTGTCCAGCGCGTTTGGTGACCTGTTTGTGTGTGTGTCACAGGTATAAGATCATCACGGAGAAGCCGCCGGGCGCGATCTCAGGCCATCAGAAGTTCGAGAACGGGAAGATCGAGTGGAGCTCCGAGATGCCGATCTCCTGCAGCCTCTCCAAGTGTGTGTGTGTGTGTGTGTGACAGCAGCTCGTGGTGTGGAGGTGCACGTGTGTGACGGTGTGTGTGTGTTTCAGGGGTCTTCAGAGTCTCCTCACGCCAGTGCTGGCCAACATCCTGGAGGCGGATCAGGAGAAGTGTTGGGGATTCGACCAGTTCTTCGCCGAGACCAGCGACATCTTACACCGCATCGTGGTCTACGTGTTCAGCCTCCAGCAGGCCACGCTACACCACATCTACATACACACCTACAACACGTGAGCACACGCTACACCACATCTACATTACTAAGTAATTAGTTACTATAATTTCATTACTTTTCCCTTGAAAATGTAAAGTAAGGGATAACTCTTCATTTATCTGTAATTTAATTACAGTTACTTCTGATGTAATTGAGGTAAATACTGCGTATGGATCAATCCGATCTCACAGCGATTCGTATGCATTTTATGAGGTGTATAAATCGTACGACCGCACTTGTACAAATTCGTATGAATTATTGTAAAATATCTATGGAAAAGTGTGAAATGTAATGAGATTAGACATAAAACAATAGTGGGTTTAACATCGAAATATATTGTCTGATGTTAAAAAGTATGTTTTTATAATGTAACCTTCTCCACCTTGGTCAGTTTAAGGATAATTCATGCAATATTATAGTATTTATTTGAAAGAATTAAAACCGATTCATGCCTATCCTTGTATTATTCAGCTGGTTGAGATTGATTATGGGATTTTGAAAGTAATTAAAATTAATTAAATACTTTTTTAGAGAGAGTAATTAGTACAGTAATCTAATTACACTGTTGAAGAGGTAATTAGTAACTAGTAATTAATTACTTTTTTAGAGTAGCTTACCCAACACTGATCTACACACACCTACAACACTTGTGTGAGCTATAATTGTGCCTCTGTTCTCCAGGGCGAACCTGTTCCAGGAGCTGCTCTTCCGGCGGACCAACATCGCGCCGTCGCATCAGGAGTTCCTGTACGAGAGCCGGCGCCTCGTGTTCGACCCCACCCGTCAGGCCCAGAGCTTCCCCAAGTCCTCCCGCGACAATCCCATCATGCTCCTCAGCCGAGACCCCGTCAACACCGTCGGCCTGGTGTTCGAGGACCGTGAGTCTGTCGCGTTACTCGTTACATCGTAACCTAAAGCCTTGTTCACACTACATGATTTTAAAACGTCGGGCTGAACTGTGCGGTTCACACTACATGACGTGCTCTCAGTGAAATCAGGAGTGTTCAAGTTGTTTAGCTGTTCACATCACACCACACAACGTGATTGATCCACAACAGGAGGTAACTCACTACACGCACTACATAGAGATACAACCACGATCGGATGATAAGAGCAGATCATTTGTGACTCAATGAGAGCTGTTTCAGTACTATAGTACGGTCTAAATCCTGAAAATAATCAAATAAATAACAACTTTGTCACCCAACGAGTCTATCTTGTCTACAAACCACGTTTTGTCACAAAAAAACACGCAATAAATAAATAAATAAATAAATATTGCGCCAATACCCAGCGAAGAAGAGAACACAACACGTGAATATGGACGTCAGACAGCAAAAAAAACTAAGATTTACCTGGTGTCCTCAACCCATGCGTTGCTATGATTGGCTGTACTCATGACGTCACTGAGGTCGAGTCGCGCGACGGCTCTGGATATCTAGCGGGCTAGATATTTTTCTGTGCTCGGCGAGGCGTCTGCGAGCGTTTTCGCTGCGTTGTTGGCTCTTTCATACTAACAGATTGGCAAGCGTTCATCGTCCGCTAATCCCTCGCGATTTGCACGCGATAACACCCCGACCAGTCGGCGAGCTCAACGATTTGCAAATCGGGCTTAAAATCCTGTAGTGTGAACTTGGCTTAACCTGATAACTGACCTTGATAACGAGGACCCCTGTGTTTGCAGCCAGCCCTCCGAAAGTGCAGCCGCGCTACGACCTGGACCTGGACGCTAGCTACGCCAAGGTGAGAGCGCAGGACCGAGAGAGGTCATAGGTCAAACCCCAAGACACGTGATCCGAGCCGGGACGCGTGTGTGAGGTCCTGTGAGATGATTAGGGTTGGGTATCGTTTGAATTTGAACGATTCTGATTCCGATTCCGATTCCTTGTTTCGATTCCGGTTCCTAACGATTCTCGATTCCGATTCTTTTAAGAGGCAGGGTCAAAAAAGTTTAGCTAACCTTGCTAACCAACGGCCTTTCTGAAGGAAATACTCCTTTTGTCACAAATTTTGCATTTTGCCGAGATTTCGTTATTTTTAGAAAAGTGAAGCCACACTTTGGATCGCCGACGTAAGCTACTCATGTTCGACTGGCGTGGTTATGCCAACACTTCCGGTAGACGCTTCTTCGTTGGTGTTGTTCAGCGGTTTCTTCTTCCGCTCGGCGGACTGTGAATATCGAAACTAGGAATCGAAATTTTAACTTTTGAACGATTCCGGGAAAAACGAAAAGTTAGTCCCGGTTCCAATCGATACTCGATTCTCGATACCCAACCCTAGAGATGATTCACGGATGTTTGTAAGATGTGTGTGTGTGTGTGCGCAGACGTTCGCGGGGGACGTGGGCTATCTGTGGAAGACGTCCGACTCGCTGCTGCTGTACCAGGAGCTCGTGAGGAAAGCCGTGCGCGGCCTGAAGTGAGTGTGTGTGTCAGAGGAGAACAAGCCACGGCTGAAATGTTTTTAGAGTTGGTCTCATACTCGTGATGTGTGTGTGTTGCAGTGAGCTGATCAGAGACGAGTACAGCGAGACGACACACAAGAAGACGGAGGTGATCCACGCGTGTACCTACTGTAGCCAAACACTGGAGAGGACCGAGCAGATGTGAGTGTGTGTCTGTATATCTAAACACGTTATACGCCGTCAGCGTTTCCATGGATTCACGTTTCTGAAGTTTATGCAGAGATGATTACGTTTTTAAAAAATGTCAACACTTGGCCTTTACTACATAAGGCCTATATGAAGATAGTGTGTGTGTGTGTCAGGTGTGAGGTCATGATGCAGGGAAACATGCTGTCGGCGGAGTACGATGAGATCCGGGACATGAGGAAGAAGGTGATGCGGGTGAGTCAAGGGTTAAAGGTTGAAAGCGTGTTCATGTAAGCACTGGCTCGCTTCATCACGTCTCTCTCTCACACACACACACACACACACAGCTGTCCAGCTCTCTGGGCTCGATGGAGCAGACGCTGCAGGACATCAGCACCATGTTCCTGCCCGGCGGGAGTCTGACCGACACCTGGACGCAGCAAGTGGGAACGCATCCGGAAGACCGGAAGTGAGTTACTCCACACACACACACACACACACACACACTCGCACTCCCGGTGAAACACTCTGGATCGGTAAGATTTATGTTTTTTTAAAGAAGTTATATTAAATTGTAATCATATTTAACAATATTACTTTTTGTTGTTGTTATATTAAAATAAACTCAGCGTTGGTGAGCAGGAGAGACTTCTCTAAAAACATCTCCCCGATCCAGATGTGTGTGTGTGTGTGTGTGTGTAATCATGCATAATGCTCTGTTATTACTATAGTAAGTAGACAGTGTGAAATGAAGTGTAAGCATGAACATGACTGACGTGTTGTTGTGTTTGTGAAGTGTGGAGAAGATCAAAGTTCTGCTGGACGCCATCAGCGCCGTTTACCAGCAGTTCAAGAAGGACAAGGCCGAGAGACGTGAGTGTGTGTGTGAGAGAACATCACAAGCCGCTTTACTTCTCATGTCATCAGTGTCTGATTCCTGTCTCGTCTCCGCAGGTTTGCCCTATAATGAAGAACAGATCCACAAGTTCGACAAGTGAGTGTGTGTGAGTGTTTGTGTGTGTTTGTGTGTGTGTGTTTGTGAGTGTGTGAGTGAGTGAATGTGTGGATGTGTGTGTGTGTGAGAGTGAGTGTTTCACGATGACCTGAAGATCTGTGTGTTTCCTCAGACAGAAGCTGGTTCTGCACGCCACTAAAGCGCGGGCGCTCTTCACGGACGAGTGTGCCATGAAGTATCGGCTCTTCATCTCCAAGAGTGAGGAGTGGATGAAGTGAGTCATGTGACCTGCTGTGTTCTGACACGTGGCTGAGCGCAGTGCTCTCATTGGCTGTTGCCATGGTAACTGTGCTGTTGTCGTTGCAGGAAGTTCCATCACGTCCGTAAGCACCTCTTGTCTCTGACTGGTCAGTTCTCCAGCATGGAACAGGAAGTGACTCTGATCCTGCAGCGCTTGTATAAAGTGAGTAAACAGGAAGTGCAATCCGTGTAGCCGCGCTGTAACGACACAGAGACGCTAACGTGTGTGTGTTTTCAGCTGATGGAGCAGCTGCCTCAGAAGATGATGCCCATGACGGCCGGAGGACTCAAACCGCAGGCGTATCTCAGTCCCAGCACTCTGGTGGAGATGACCCTGGGGTGAGCATGACCTCTGACCCCTGACCGCTAACGTATGATATGGACAGGGTTTGAGATCTAAAATCTGCTCATCTGTGGCTTACTGAACACACTCGTCACTACATATAACGGCGCGCTTGTTCATTTGCATTGAAGCAAAAGCGAAGATTAAAAAGCATTCGGTGAACAGAAGACACATTATTTTTTATGTTCTTTGTCTTGTATTGATCCGTCCACATAAAATATATTTTGGTGATGAGGATGAAAGAGGAAGAGGTGGAGATGCTGGGTGACAGGATTTTATTTGAATAAGAAATTTTGTAATATATATATAAATATATATACATACATGTGTATATACACACACACTAAAAAAGAAATAAACCAGATTAACGTCACAGCTTCTATATACTATATATATAAACTGTGACGTAGTTAATCTGGTTTATTTCTTTTTGTTTTTATTTTGTTTTTTGTTTTTGGCTAGAAGTTCTTATGAAACCGTGAACCGCGAAAAAAAAATATCTAAACATTTGGAGATTAAAGTTGAAACATTACGGGATTAAAGAGGAAATATTACGAGATTAAAGACGAAACATTACGAGATTAAAGACGAAACATTACGAGATTAAAGACGAAACATTACGAGATTAAAGTCGAAACAGTACGAGATTAAAGTCGAAACATTACGAGATTAAATTCGATACATTACGAGATTAAAGACGAAACATTACGGGATTAAAGACGAAACTTTACGAGATTAAAGACGAAACATTTGGAGATTAAAGTCGAAACATTACGAGATTAAAGTCGAAACATTACGAGATTAAAGTCGAAACATTTGGAGATTAAAGTCGAAACATTACGAGATTAAAGATGAAACTTTTGGAGATTAAAGTCGAAACTTTACGAGATTAAAGTCGAAACATTACGAGATTAAAGACGAAACATTTCGAGATTAAAGACGAAACTTTACGAGATTAAAGACGAAACATTACGAGATTAAAGTCGAAACATTACGGGATTAAAGACGAAACATTTGGAGATTAAAGTCGAAACATTACGAGATTAAAGTCGAAACATTTCGAGATTAAAGACGAAACTTTACGAGATTAAAGACGAAACATTTCGAGATTAAAGACGAAACTTTACGAGATTAAAGTCGAAACATTACGGGATTAAAGACGAAACATTTGGAGATTAAAGTCGAAACATTACGAGATTAAAGTCGAAACATTTCGAGATTAAAGACGAAACTTTACGAGATTAAAGACGAAATATTACGAGATTAAAGACGAAACATTACGAGATTAAAGACGAAACATTACGAGATTAAAGACGAAATATTACGAGATTAAAGACGAAACATTACGAGATTAAAGACGAAACATTACGAGATTAAAGACGAAATATTACGAGATTAAAGACGAAACATTACGAGATTAAAGACGAAACATTACGAGATTAAAGACGAAATATTACGAGATTAAAGACGAAACATTACGAGATTAAAGACGAAACATTACGAGATTAAAGTCGAAACATTACGAGATTAAAGACGAAACATTACGAGATTAAAGACGAAACATTTGGAGATTAAAGTCGAAAAATTACGAGATTAAAGTCGAAACATTTCGAGATTAAAGACGAAACTTTACGAGATTAAAGACGAAACATTGCGAGATTAAAGTCGAAACATTACGGGATTAAAGACGAAACATTTGGAGATTAAAGTCGAAACATTACGAGATTAAAGTCGAAACATTTCGAGATTAAAGACGAAACTTTACGAGATTAAAGACGAAACATTACGAGATTAAAGACGAAACATTACGAGATTAAAGACGAAACATTACGAGATTAAAGACGAAATATTACGAGATTAAAGACGAAACATTGCGAGATTATGTTAGAAGTCAAAATGTTAGAATATTTTTTTTTTTTTTTTTCGCTGTGGTTCAGGGCTTCCGTAAATTCTGAATGGCGGGTAACTTGAACATTTTTTAGCTGAATTGGCCGGTGAGTAAAAAGGTTAATTTCCAGCCCTGGATATAGCCGTGTGATCAGAGAGGATGATGCGTGTCTGTTGCCCACAGGATGAAGAAGCTGAAGGAGGAGATGGAGGGAGTGGTGAAGGAGCTGGCGGAGAACAACCTGTTCCTGGAGAGGTGAAGCTTCCTCACACACACATACACACCTGAACTCACTCCTACACACAGACACACACACTGATCTCCTGTGTTTCAGGTTTGGCTCGCTGACGGTGGACGGCGCCATCAGGAACGTGGACCGGATCTGACCGGATCTCAGCCCTCTCTGTTGTACATATGAATAGAGTGTAAATACAGTACACATGCTGAAACTCTTCTTTATCTCTTAAATCTTGTGTTAATTCTCAAACTAGAGTTGTTATTAAACACGAATAAGTGCTTTTACTTTCTGTTCTTATCATGAAAATGAGACCTAGCTCTTCGGTTTGATCCATAAACACCTGTGCGCTTCGTGAACGCTCGTGTTCGTCAGGCCGTGAACAAACGTTCGGCTGACATCATGGGAACGTCACTATCGAACCTTCGGAAACGAGTTCAAACATTATAAACGTTTCAGAAAAAAACATTCCATGATGGATGTATAAATAATGTTTTTGTGCTAACGTTGTGGGAACATTATTAAAGCCCAGATAACTCTGAACGAACGTTTGTTCACGAGAGAACGCTCCTGTTCAACGACTAACGTTTCACTGAGACGACTGTTTTCCATCAGTGTAAATGAAAACTATTTATAGACTTTAATGTTGTTTTCTGTAAATGAGGATTAAAAAAAGAAGAAACCTTCATCTGTTTCTTTACTGCTTCTCACTCTACACACACAATGAGCTGAAAGTGAATGATTGACAGCTCAAAATCCTCTGAGCCTCCTGAGGTCAACAGAACTGAGAGCATCTCCAAATGAACGTGGTTTTCTCTCGGTTGTGTGTGAGTGGAATTAGAAATCTCTCTGATGATACAGCTGTCAGTCGCCATGACAACAGACACAAAAGAACAGCCTCTCCTCAGCAGCTGTAGCCATGGCAACACCCTCAGACAACAGCATCAGCTCGGATGTAACAAACACTTGACAGATTCATTACATCCGCTCAGATAATGACACTTGCTGAAGAACAAACCCTGCATCACTGACGTCACCGGCCGTCCACAAAATGACAGATTTTGGCTTTAAAAACGCGCGTTCGTGAAAACGTAATGCTTGTATTAGGGTTAATAAGTAATGTATATTTAAATATCTTTGGCTCAGTACGAAAACAAAACAACAAATCAGTGTTTTATAAGCCCCACCGTGATTTGTGGCTCATACATGAATAATTCATGAGCACAATCAAAACTGCTACGTCACGGATTTACATACTCGTGTCTGATGTGAGTGCGCGCGCGTGCTCGATGGATGATGCTGAGATCGATTGATTTGTAAAGCGGAGGACATGTATGAGGAGAAGCGATGGAGGAAATAAACGACTCGAGAAGGAGGAGGAGGAGGAGAAGAAGAAACGCTTGATGCGAGGACGCTGAGGTGAGTCTGAGGGAAACAACACGACGCGCCTCACGCGAGCGTTACTCGCGCGTCATACTCATGAACATGCACGAGCAGCTGCATATCTCATAATATACTGTTGCTGCATGTGTTATCCGCCGTGAACCAGCGTCTGTGGGGATGCTGAATCATAACAGGCCCTCATATGGAAATATATACGACGATTAATAAACCTTTACATTTTTTAATAGTCCTTTTTACCCTCTGGAAACTGTTCGCGTGTCGGCCAAAAATTACCGTTTTTGATTTCAATGAAATGATTATACTGTGTGTTTATAGTTCGATGAAAGGTTGGATTTAATATTTTGTATTTTTAGGGGGATTTTTATGTTACTAATGATATGCATGCTGTAGTTAAAATGCATTAATTCACTTTTTGAGCATATACTTTTAGAATGAAAATGAAACATTTCAATTAAAACAGTCAGGAATGTTTAATGCTTTGGGAGTTTGAACACTTGGCAGATCATTGTTGAAATGAAATCAGTAAAAAATAAAGTTAACTTTAAAAAAGTAATACAATTTTACATTTGTTATGTTATGATAAATGCACAAAAAATAAAATTTTAAATATTTTATTTGAAATATATATTTTACAAAACATTTTATATTCTAAAACAGAAAATCAAAGACATAAAGCTGTGTTCCAACACTATGTCCCATATATCAACCTCATGTTTCAACCCATGTTTGGGTAAAATATGGACGAACCCATCCATTGGTTGTAATTACATTTTAAACACAACTGTTGGGTTTGTCCATATTTTACCCAAACGTGGGTTGAAACAACCCAGCATTTTTGTGAGGTTGATATATCAATAATTGAGCTTTCGGTGTGATTTTGTTTTGCCTCAGTTCCAATTCTTTTTGGGATCATTTCAGTTTCTCAATTCATGTCCATGATTGTGTGTTCAAATACGTAAAGTGAGATCTATAAATGTTGTTTATCTTCATCATACTCTTCAGAAATCCTGTGGGATCAGATGTGTTGTTGAATTACAGCGTCTTCAGAGTAAACTGTACGCTGAGATCAGCACACACACACACAGGTAATGAGCGTCTCTCGAGGAACACCTTCAGTCTCGGATGGCTCATGGCTGTAATAGAATAGAAGCTCTCTGGATGATTTGCATCCGGCACACAGCGCTTTAAATCTCTGATCAACATTCAATAAGGTTTGTCTTCTCTAAAAAAAAGTTAATGTTTCTTCTGACAATGTTAATAACTCAGTATTTGATAAATCAGTGATCGTGTTTTATCACTCAAGTCTAGAACATGATTCGGGTTCATTCACTCACCCTCATGTCATGAAGTCCTTCACATCTGATCTAATCTGATTATGTATTTAAGAGATTGCACTTGCTTCCTCACACATCAGTCGTTTCACAATCCTTCAGTAGTGCTGTGTGTGTGTCTGAAACAGAACATCTGACAATAAAAGGTTCTAGACTAAGGTACCAGCTATCTGTCCCTGGTTACAGGGGAGTTTAGCCCTGGAAACCCCAGATATCTGTCCCTGGTTACAGGGGAGTTTAGCCCTGGAAACACCAGATATCTGTCCCTGGTTACAGGGGAGTTTAGCCCTGGAAACACCAGATATCTGTCCCTGGTTACGGGGAAGTTCAGTCCTGGAAACCCCAGATATCTGTCCCTGGTTACGGGGAAGTTCAGTTCTGGAAACCCCAGATATCTGTCCCTGGTTACGGGGGAGTTCAGTCCTGGAAACACCAGATATCTGTCCCTGGTTACGGGGGAGTTCAGCCCTGGAAACACCAGATATCTGTCCCTGGTTACGGGGGAGTTCAGTCCTGGAAACACCAGATATCTGTCCCTGGTTACGGGGGAGTTCAGCCCTGGAAACACCAGATATCTGTCCCTGGTTACGGGGGAGTTCAGTCCTGGAAACACCAGATATCTGTCCCTGGTTATGGGGAGTTCAGTCCTGGAAACACTAGATATCTGTCCCTGGTTACGGGGGAGTTCAGTTCTGGAAACACTAGATATCTGTCCCTGGTTACGGGGGAGTTCAGTCCTGGAAACACCAGATATCTGTCCCTGGTTACGGGGGAGTTCAGCCCCGGAAACACTAGATGTCTGTCCCTGGTTACAGGGGGGTTCAGTCCTGGAAACACCAGATATCTGTCCCTGGTTACGGGGGAGTTCAGCCCCGGAAACACTAGATGTCTGTCCCTGGTTACAGGGGGAGTTCAGTCCTGGAAACACCAGATATCTGTCCCTGGTTATGGGGAGTTCAGTTCTGGAAACACTAGATATCTGTCCCTGGTTACGGGGGAGTTCAGTCCTGGAAACACCAGATATCTGTCCCTGGTTACGGGGGAGTTCAGCCCCGGAAACACTAGATGTCTGTCCCTGGTTACAGGGGGGTTCAGTCCTGGAAACACCAGATATCTGTCCCTGGTTACGGGGGAGTTCAGCCCCGGAAACACTAGATGTCTGTCCCTGGTTACAGGGGGAGTTCAGTCCTGGAAACACCAGATATCTGTCCCTGGTTATGGGGAGTTCAGTTCTGGAAACACCAGATATCTGTCCCTGGTTACGGGGGAGTTCAGTCCTGGAAACACCAGATATCTGTCCCTGGTTATGGGGAGTTCAGTTCTGGAAACACTAGATATCTGTCCCTGGTTACGGGGGAGTTCAGTCCTGGAAACACCAGATATCTGTCCCTGGTTACGGGGGAGTTCAGCCCCGGAAACACTAGATGTCTGTCCCTGGTTACAGGGGGGTTCAGCCCTGGAAACACCAGATCTCTGTCCCTGGTTACAGGGAAGTTTTTTATATATAGAGTTAGATATAACTATATAAACTATATTATCTTTATACAGAGAGTAGGATATATAACTATACAAACTATATTATCTATATATAGAGTTGGATATATATAACTACTGTATATAAACTAGATAATAAACGTATAATCTATATATGCAATATATAGAGTTGGATATGTAACCCTAACCATTGTCGATATATAGAGTTGGATATATAACTCTACAAACTATTATCTATATAGAGTTGGTCATATTATCTATATAACTATATAAACTATATTATAAATATAACTATATAAACTATGTTATCTATATAGTGATATATATAACTATATAAACTATGTTATCTATATAGTGATGTATATAACTATATAAACTATTATAATAGAGCAGCTGTACACAGATGTAACTGATTATCTGTTCCTGTCGTGTGTTTTAGCTTTGATCGACTCGGAGAGGCTGATGATGTACTTCCTGTCCATGGAGGGCGCGAAGCCATCGCTCCACCCTGCTTTCCTTTTCAACGACTCCGAAAGGAACGATTCTTCAACGCCAACGCCGGTCATGTGCCGCCTGGACTCGTCCTCGTTCCAGAGCAACGGCTCGCTGACCTCATACGACCTGACCTATGACCTGACCCCGACAGAGGTCACGCTCCTCGGCCTGGTGTTCAGCGTCTTCTGGCTCGTGTCGGTTCTGGGAAACTCGCTAGTGTGTCTGGTGATCCATCGCAGCCGCAGAACTCAGTCCACGACCAACTACTTTGTGGTGTCGATGGCGTGTGCGGACCTGCTGCTTAGCTTAGCCTGTGCGCCGCTAGTTCTGCTCCAGGTGTCGGCGGGTCACTGGCCTCTGACCGCGGCCGCATGTCGAACCGTACGCTACCTTCAGCACCTGTGCCCCGGCGTCCAGGTGTACGTGCTCCTGTCCATCTGCGTCGACCGCTTTTACACCATCGTGTACCCGCTAAGTTTTAAAGTGTCGCGCGAGAAGGCTAAGCGCATGATTTTAGCATCATGGCTGTTCGATGCCGCCTTCGTGTCGCCGTGTTTGTTCTTCTACGGATCCACGACTTCTCGGAACCACTGCGACTTCTTCCTAGCAGATAGCTGGAACGGGTTAGCATACGCGGTCACGCACCTGCTCTTCGGATTCCTGGTGCCGGCCCTTCTAATCGTGTACTTCTACCAGCGGGTGGTGCGCTACATCTGGAGGATCGGCGCCGATGGGCGAACGGTGCGCAGGACCATGAACATCGTCCCCAGGACTAAAGTCAAAACCATTAAGATGTTCCTGATGCTAAACGGTATGTTTCTGCTAAGCTGGATGCCGTTTTACGTGGCGCAGTTGTGGCACCCGTCGGGCTCCGGCAGACAGGGGGCGCTGTTCTTCATCGCCGTCACCTGGATCTCCTTCAGCTCCACCGCGTCCAAACCCACGCTCTACTCCGTGTACAATGCTAACTTCCGGCGTGGCATGAGAGAGACCTTCTGCATGTCATCTATGAAGTGCTACCGCAGTAACGCGTACACCATCACCGCTAGCTCGCGGATCGCGAAAAAGAACTACATCGGCGTGGTGGATCTGCCGGTGCCAGCAAAGACACTCGTCAAAGACTCGGTTTACGACACTTTCGACCGAGAAGCAAAGGAGAAGAAATTAGCATGGCCCATTAGCTCTAACCCACCCAACACTTTTGTGTAAAGGCTCTCTTTTGTCGTAACGCAACAGTTCACACATACATTTACATTAATTTGTTGTAACATTCAACGCTGTGCTGTTTTTCAAAAACATCTTATTGAACAAAACTATATTCTGAGAACATTTAAAAACACTTCTGTGAACGATACGAAACAGTGACTGCATCATTCTTCAAACATTATGAAACGTTACTTCTGAATCTGAACGTTCTGAAACCAGAAACATTTAAAATCAGATAACTTTGAACGAACGTTCAATTAATGTTTTGAGAACGTTTGTTCATAACGTTGAGAGAACCTTGACGGAACGTTTCCTGTTCGCTGAGATGAGGCCAGCTTTGAGTGAACTGTTGCTTTACCTGCACCTCGATCATGAAACGCGCGATCACATTAGCTCTCTGATGGATGGAGCGCCGCTCACACACTTCCTGTTGGACTCACCATCCCTGACACCTCCTGGAGTAACTGGATTACGCGGCAGGATGTGACCGAGCTACGCCTGCAGAGATGCTAAACCGCGGTGCTACTGCTAACTGTGACGTCACGTGTTCTTCTGTCGGTGTCCTGCAGGATTCATGGGAATCTTCAGAAATGAGTTTTGTGTTTTTGTCCCTGTAGTTGCAGATACACTTTGTCTCATAGGTGTGTGTGTGTCGTGTCATGATGCAAGACAGACGTGTCACGTGTCCTTGTGACTTTACAATTAAACGTCCTGTGAGATTCAGATGAGTCCCACGGTGTGACTGATTACTGATGCTCTACTTACATCACACAGCTGATCCTCCGATCACAAACACTGGTGCACATCATGTCCAAGTAAATGAGATTATAAAAATTAATTAATACAAAAACTTATACTATAAAAATATTTTACTTGAAAATTAAAACATTTTATTAGAATACATAAAAAAGTCCTTACATGATAAATGTAAATATTTAAATTAAATTAAATACATTTGAGTTTTTTTTTAAATAAATGGAGTGCATTTAAAGAAAGTGCATTTAAAAATACATCAATAAAAACGGGATTAGACAAAGTCTTTAAATAAACATAAATTGGATTAAATTAAATTTAAAATAAAGGACTAAAATATAAATAAATAAAACTCGTTTTAAATAAAATAAAAATAGCAGTGTAAAAAGATTAAACAAAGAAACTAAATAGTACATAAATTAATTAAAATAAAATGTAATTTAAATAAATGATAACATTTGATAAAAATAGATCAAATCTAACTAATGATGTAATTTAATAGAAACTTACGCATTTATAATATTAATTTTCCACAGAATTAATTGGGTGTTTATGCATGAGTGGCTCCATCACACACACACACACACACACTCTTACAGTCTGAAACACAAGAACTCTATAATGATGAGAGAGAGACGAGGTTCAGATCCACTCTTTATATTGTACAGATATTCATAATCACAAAGCAAAGCTACATTGTTTAATAATAAGACATGCTTTTATTCAGCAACAAATTACAACCTACATTTCAAACACGTCATATAAAAATATACATTTGAACTCTAAACCATACAGATGTAGCCTTCAGGATCATAACTCTATTCACCGGATCAGCTGCGGTTCGGGATCATAAATCTATTCTCCGGTTCGGGATAATAACTCTATTCTCTGGTTCGGGATCATAATTCTATTCTCCATTTCGGAATAATAACAACTCTATTCTCCGGTTCGGGATAATAACTCTATTCTCCGGATCGCAGCAGGTCGGGATTATAACTATTTTCCGGATCAGCTTCGGTTCGGAATCATAACTCTATTCTCCGGATCGCAGCGGGTCGGGATCATAACTCTATTCTCCGGTTCGGGATCATAACTCTATTCTCCGGTTCGGGATCATAACTCTATTCTCCGGTTTGGGATTATAATTCTATTCTCCGGATCGGCTGCGGAAAAGACCAAAACTTAAAAGTACAAAAATTCGAGCTTTTTTCGAGGAAAGTGCTTTTAGGTTCAGTTAGTGATATAAATATATAATCAACAACGAACTAAAATCTGCGTGTTCAATAAGAGCGGGAAGTGCTACGCGTTGGTATCATTCAAATGGTTGTAAAGTGCAAAAAGATTTTGGCAACAGTCTGTCTTACAATGTCTAATATTTAACGTCGTAAAGGATTAAACAGATTGTAACGCATCACATTCATCATCAAAAAGGTTCCAAAATAAATAAGTAAAATGAAGAGGAAATGTTAGAGTCACACACAGAGCCTGAGCCACATCGGGCGGATCAACATCCTAGTGTGAACGGGAGATTACGGGGAGGAATGAAGCTTATTAAAGACTGAGGCGTCCGGTTATGAAGAGGCGTCTCAGGAACACTGTGTGTGTGTGTGTACAGGATCTCGGGCCGGTCCTAACACGTCTTGTTCGCGGTGGAGCCGAACTTGCCGTTCTTGGGGATCTTGTTGCTGGAGCTCTGCGGCGCTTTCTGCTCGTCTCCCGTTAGCAGAGCCTTAATCTCCGACGGGATCTTGCCCTGATCCATGGCCAGACACCACTGCTTATACTGGGAGACAACACACACAGTCAGGGAGTTTCAGAATCAACTCTTGAGAACTCAGAGAAACGATTCCTCACTGATTCATTTGATTCTTTTATAATATGTATGATAGACTGGAGGAATCTCACATTAACGACTCACTCGTACAGAGTTCACATTACTGGAATCAATCAATGATTCAATGACTCGCATCTTTTAGCTGTGCCTCGTCTCCACGACTGGTGTGACGATGTTATTGATATAATCTTTATCAAGTTAATTCCAGAAGGCGATTCACTGTATCTCTACTATAGTCATCGGTGTTTATAAGCAAACTTTCATCCAGTGCTAGTGATAATCTGGATTATTGTAAGAAAGAATATAATAATAGTGTGTGTAAAGCTGTTGAAGAGTACAGGTGTGTGTGATCCAGTGTTTACCATGTCCAGCTCCTCTCGCAGCGCACAGATGGCTCTCTCTTTACTGGAAACCAGTTCCTCCAGATACTGGTAGCGCAGCTTCTTCCGCGCACGGCACTCACGGGCGCTCTGGCGACTACGCTCCAGCTTCGCCTTCAGGTCGATCTTAGCAGGTTTACGCCCGCGCTTGCCTGGCTTCTTCACTTTAACAGCCACCATCTGCAGATCACACACACACACACATGAAGATCATCAGAACACACACTCATATGAGGATCATCGCACATTTAAAAACAACACAATCTGAGACAGAAGAACGGCAAACAACTAAACCCAGATAAATGTGCACTCTTGTAAAGCTGATTATTGCTGAATCATAAATGATTAATTTCACATCATAAACACTTATTGAATTTGAATCAAAATTAAACTGATTGCCAACAATAAAAATGCTCAGATCGTTCTGTCAACGTTATAAACAAACGTTCTTCCAGGGACATTGATAGAGCGTTCGTTCAGAGTTATCTGGCCTTCAATCATGATGTTCTCAGAACATTACAACAGAAGCATCAATCATGGAACGTTTAAGTCAGAACGTTCAGAGAACACTCAAAAGTAACGTTCCATAATGTGTGAAGAACGACACAAATTAATGTTCCGTTAGCGTTCACATAACCAAAAAGAAACGCTTTAAAACATAATAAATTGACGCTTTGAACATTCAGAAATAACGTTTCCTAAATTAGTAAGAACATTAGCAACTCGTTTTTGAACGCCCAACGTTACGTGTTAGCTGGGCGCTAATGGTAAAGATAGAGTTGATCTTCTAAACCGTGATTCATGTACAGTGATATTACTAAGCTACTCAAGGCACCAAAGAGAATATTAAGGCACATTAATCGTGTTGTTAAACACAATTTTGTTGACAGAACTGATGTGACAATAATCCAACATGCGTTCAGTGTTCATGTGTCCACATAACGCACCTTACTGTCATCCATTGCGCGTTCTCCACTCAGCGTGGGTCTTTAGTCGCGTTCTTATCCTCGATCATTCGACTTTAAACGCTTACAGAGACCGACTGAGATGATTTTAATCTGTTTATCAACAGAACTGGCTGTGTTTTTAGCCGAATGCTAACAGAGTTCTTCCGGTTGTGGCGCAGGTGACGCCCACCGCGCTGCATGCTGGGACCTGTAGTTTCCTCCTGATTTTGGCACGCTAGACTAAAAATTCTAGAAAGATCAACAGTTTACGTCACACGAGAAACTGACTTTACGTAATACGTGTGTTTTATATATTTGTGTGTGTGCGTTACATCACATGGGACAGACTACCACTCACACACACACACACACACACACAGTCATTTCAGTTTTACATATTTTAATTACATCGAATCATTTGGAATATTTATATAATATATTAATCAACAATATTTTCAATAATCTACTGTAATTCTGCATTTTAATATTTATTATGATTGTTTTGTTATCATTATTATACTATTATTAACAGTGTAATAACGTGTGTTATTACTGTACACACACACACACACACACACAGTCACACACACACACACACATTTGGGAAAAGATTACATTATGGGAAAGTTACTTTTGAATGTTCTCTAAATGTTCTTTTTTGTTCTAACGTTTTGGTAAGATTATTATAAACTAATAGAGAACGTTTTATTAATGTTACTGGAGGAACGTTTGTTTATCTTGAGAGAAGAGAACTTTGCCAGACCGTTCTGAGAATGTTTCCTGTTCACCGTTAATGACAGCAGGGTTTATTAATCTGGTTTTCAGAAGTGTAACACGATGTGAGATGTGTAATTAGTAAAGTTCTGCTGCTGCTCGTGTAAGGCGAGCCGAAGCCCCGCCTCGTTACACTCGTTTACAGTGTTTAGCACAGAGGTGAGGACTGGAAGAACGCTCTCTCAGCCGCGCTTCTGTCTCTGTCCCCGGGAGAGCGATTCTCCGTTCTCGGGTTAGCGGTTAGCGAGTGTTTGTGGCCGGTTTGTCTGTCAGTGACGCCATGATGTTATTTTTACCCGATGATCTCACGCGCGCCGAACTCGCTCAGAGTTCACCAGAACCGAACTAGCCGAACCGAGACTCCCTAACCAGAGCCGAACCGGCCGACACCAGCACTGACACCGCCGGGGTCACCTCACGCACACGCGGAACAACTTACTACTTTACGGTCGGTGAGTTCATTCGGACTGCGCGGAGGCCGCAGTGTGTGTGTGTGTGTGTGTGTGTGTGTGTGTGTGTGGAGACACGATGTTCTTCTTAGTTTCGTTATTCTGTTTGTCTCTGTAAAGTTGGTCGACATTACTTTGAAAGTTCTAGAAAGTAGCGCGTGTTCAGTTTCTGTACTCTGCTGTCATTAAATACGACTATGAATATATATATATAATATATATATATATATATATATATATATATATGTGTGTGTATATGTGTGGTGTGTGTACATATGTATGTGTGTGGGTATATATATATAGGCTGTGTGTGTTGTGAGTACATTTCTATGTTTGTGGTATATATATATATATATATATATATAATGTACAATATATGTGTGTGTGTGTGTGTGTGGTACTGTGTGTGTGTATATATAAATGTGTGTGTGTATGTGTGTGTGTTAACAGTGTGTGTGTGTGTGTGTCAAAAGGTCTGCTAAATGAATAAATGTAAATCTGTCCAAATAAACCTGACTCTACTATCGAAACGGTAAATAAAATCATGCTAACACCACGGTACTTCATGTTAGCGGGTCACATGGTCACGTCTCTGGTTTCAGGATATTTCGGAGGGAAGTTGGACGTGTTTATTGAGGAACAGACAGAGAGACGAAGAGACAGTTCCTGGAGAAACACTGGTTCTGTTCTCATGCGTGACGTTAGATCACCAGTTTCACATAGCCGATTGATTGATTGACAGCAGCAGATTGATTGACAGCTCGTTCTCCTCGTCTAGCAGACTCTCATGAGTGTGTTCTGCTGTGGTCGGGAACTCGTCATGTTTTGGAGCAATCGAGCGTGTTCACGTCACTCGGTTTCACTTCCACACGCGGTTAGATCAAGATCGTGTGTGACCTTTGACCTTACAGCTCGTTTCTGAAGCGCTTCTAGAATATAATAACAGTCTATTCACTCTGAAGATGATTTCTCTGACTGCAGTGGCTGATCTGTGTGAATCTCTAACGGGATCTGGATTTGAGGATGTTCAGATATTAGTGCTGTAAAAGCTTTAGTTCAGCAGTGTTTGATGTGTGTGTGTGTGTGTGTTATGGGTCGAAGTCCTCTGTGACTGTGATCTCTATCAGCTGTTCACCTTCGCTCAGCAGAAACACACAGCAAACACATTCATTCATCTCGGCCTTCAAACACACACACACACACACACACACAGCAGGAGACTTGAAGAAGCAGCTTTACCTCGATCATTAATCACTGAGAACGAGAATCAGCGTTTATTAGTAATTCACATTATGAATATTTGATGGGGATCATGATGACATCACTGGATCCCTGCTGTGTGTTCACTGGCAGCCAATCAGAGTCCAGGATCTCTGCTGTGTCTTCACTGGCAGCCAATCAGAGTCCAGGATCTCTGCTGTGTGTTTTATTGACGGCTGCTTCTGTTTCTCTGTATGGACACATTAATGGGAATGGCAGATAATTACTACAGATTTCATGTGTTTATATAAAACATAATCTCGAATCGAGTTAAAGCCCATCAGACATCATGAGTGTGTGTGTGTCTGCAGGAGCTCTGGATGATGAAGAGCAGCGGAGATGATCGAGGAGCAGGACCTCCATCTTTATAGAGACACTGATAATGTGAAAGAGACACACACACACTAACACATTCCCACATACACACACACACTAGTTTCCTCTAGCTCTGTTTGTTCGAACGCCATCGGGGTGACATCCTCATCCTCATCATCCTCAGTGCCATGTGGCCGCCGCTCTCCTGAGCCCGAGGGAGTGTGGGTATGTGTGAGCGTGTGTGTGTGCTGGGGCCCGAGGCCCTGGTGGCGCTGCTCGAGGGCGATCTGGACCGGGTTCTGCTGATCGACTGCCGGCCGTTCCTGGAGTTCAACACGGGTCACATCATGGAGGCCGTCAACGTGCACGGCTCCAAGCTGATGAAGAGGAGACTCATGCAGGACAAGACCCAGATCAGCGAGCTCCTGATGCACTGCGCCAAGAGGAAGGTGATCTCACACACAAACACACACACTGTCCGCTTTAAATCAAGATACATTACACAATGCCTGCAGATATTAAAGGCACGTGATGTAACCTCTCGCCACTAGAGGGCGCTTCTCCAGATTCTCATGATATATCCCCTTTATAATGTTATAAAGAGAGTGAGTGTGTGTGTGTTTTCAGCTGGAGCTCCAGGGTCAAGAGGTCGTGGTGTATGACCAGAGCTCGTCAGACCCCGCCTCCCTTTCACATGATGCCTTTCTCAGTGTCCTATTGGCCAAGCTGGAGAAGAGCTTCCCATCAGTCCACCTGCTCTCAGGTTACAGTCACATGACACACTGAACACTTACATTCACACACACGCACTAACACACCTCTCTCTGCTGGTGTTTTCTGAGGCTCAGTGTGTGTGTGTGTGTGTAGGAGGATTCTCAGAGTTCTGCCGTCTGTTCCCGGGTCTGTGTGAAGGGAAGTCTGCGCTGGTGCCGTCCTGTGTGTCTCAGCCGAGTCTCACTCTCCCCGTGACCAACCCGAACCCGACCCGCATCCTAACACACCTGTACCTGGGCTGCCAGAGGGACGTGCTCAACCAGGTGAGTGTGTGTGTGTGTGTGTGTGTGGATCAGAACTCCTGCTGATGTGTGTGTGTGTGTGTGTGTGTGTGGATCAGAACACCTGCTGATGTGTGTGTGTGTGTTCCCGCAGGAGCTCATGCAGCAGAACGATATCGCGTACGTGCTGAACGCCAGCAACACCTGTCCCAAACCCGACTTCATCCCCGACACACACTTCCTGCGCGTGCCGGTGAACGACAGCTTCTGCGAGAAGATCCTGCCCTGGCTCGACCGGTCTGTGGAGTTCATAGGTCGGACGGGGTCACATGACACTGCGCTCCCCATAGAATCACTACATTAACACGAAATAGAAATTATAGACAAAAAGAAAAGATAGACAAGACTGAACTAAACTAAATTAAATATTTAAAATATTTGTTTTATCATTTTAAATTACATTTAATTTGTATGTATTTTTGGTTTTGTTTTGTTATATATATTTTAAAAATTTCACATAATTGTTATTAACATATATTAACTAACACTAATTATTAACTAAATTAAACTGGCTTAATTTTAAATATTACATTTAATTATGTTATATATATATATATATATATATATATATATATATATATATATTGTGAATTATTCAAATTAAATTAAAATATAATATATGTATTTATGTTAGTGTGTTATGTTGGTTGATCACCTGAACTTTGATTGGTGGAATTTTCTATTTTCTGCACAGCATCATGGGTAATGTAGTTTTTTCACCACAAATTTGGCCATTAAACATTATAGTTGTGAAAATAAGTTGAAATAATGCAGAAGCATAACAACCTCGTTAGAGGTTTATAAGTCATCAGAAAAGCCCTGATTGGTGTGTGTGTGTCTCCAGAGAAAGCCAAGGCCAGTGACGCCCGAGTCCTGGTCCACTGTCTGGCGGGAATCTCGCGCTCGGCAACCATCGCCATCGCCTACATCATGAAGAGGATGGACATGTCATTGGATGAAGCCTACAGGTAACAGATCATGTGACCATCCTTCTTCCCTGACCCGTCATTAGTGTGTGTCTCATGAAACCCGTCCAGCTCATTCTCAACATCAAATCAAAGGACGATATTTGGAGGATGGAATTGTGAATTATTACATTTAAATAGAGCATTTATACATTATGATAGTATTTGATTACATGCATTTAATAGATTTAAATGTACATTTTGTAGTTATAACATCATTCCTTTGGTTTTGGGTTGATATGTGACGTGTTCACACTGCACTCGCAACCAAATCAATCCAACATCACAGCCAATCAGAAGAGTGTGTGGGCGGAGTCTCTCTGCAAACAAACTACACATTTTTTAATGTAACTCTGATTGTATTCGTCTGAAAGAAG